AGGCACTTAGGCGTCACATGTAGTCATTATGGGGAAAAGCGTTACAAGACGCAATGCTTATTTATGCACTTACGACAATTTTAGCGCTCTCAGTCTTCAAGAAAGACTATGGTTATCATCACCATTTTTGTGAAATACAGATCTATGTTACAGGGATGTCTTTTGCAGATCACTTTACTCTGTGAAAAATAAAAAGTTGACTCAACTTAAAAAAGTAAGGATAACAGCTGCTAAGCATTTTTGAGTTGGCTCAACTTCAAATTCTGCGTCCTTTCAAAAATGAGTAAGTGCAACCACTGGGTCTTGAAGTTGAGCCAACTTAAAAATGCTCTGCAGCTGAATGCCTTACCTTTTCAAGTAGAGTCAACTAACTTATTTTTTCAGTGTGCTGGGAAACCTTGTATAAAAGAGAAATGTTCTCAATAGGAGAATTACAGGTAAAATGGTATTGAGCTTGTGATTCTTTCAAATACTTAACCACATTGCGCAAATATGGACACTGCTGTTTGTAAATTCCTATATTTAATTGCTATATAATTCTGTATTTGAATTTCCAAATGTTTTGCTTCACTGGAATAATTTTTCCCAGTCTCTGTGACACAAATACTGAGTTATAAAGCCAAAATAGGCTCATGCATAACAAACAAAAATTGGCATTATTTGTATTATGCATAAAGGGGTAAATACCAAATCCCTCATTCATTAGATAGACAAGTAAAAACTTTTGTTGCAAGCTCTTACTGATGGGACATAGCCTATTTCTCAATACACAAGTTGGGAATAATGAGAGCACATCTGTCCGGATGCAAATGGGAGGATCAGAGACAGAGATGCTGAAGTTCAGAGCAGAGTCTTCCCACAGATATCAGATAATTAAAGACATGTCCCTTTCAACTGGGGTCTCAGAAATGCAGACTGTTCTGCAATCTCTAAAAAAATCCCTCATAGTGGGCTACAGGAGATAAACAGGGAATATCCACGGATTTAAAATTGAAAACTGCGCAAGATAAATGTGTAAGGATAATCAGTATGGAATAATAAGTATGAAGCCTGTGTTTCCATGATTTTTTTATTCTGAATGATGTCCCATACAGTCTCCTTTTTTGGACTACATCTCCTGACTGTTTATTCTCATTGATCAAGCTTCTCCTTGACTTTCGACAGCACAATGCTAAACCCCAAAGCAAAGTCCTAAGGCAATCAAAAGTGCAGAATGAAGACTGATGCTGAACGATCTCAGACGCCAGCACTCAGAGGAAAGTGAATGCACCCAACTGATCGAAAACAACTGTGAATAAATTTGTGCCAAACATACTGATTCACTGAAATCTAACACGGAGGGTGATGATGTGCTGAAATTTCTATATGGGGCAATGAAAATGTGATACAATACAAATAAAAGCTGCAAGTTGATGCTTTTACCACGTTTGAATTGTTCGATAACAACAAAACGAGGAGTAGACAGCCAAATCAAGGAACTTTCCAAGATTCCTCATGAAATATAGTTGTGGGGGTGTCATAGTTCAGACCAGGGGCTTTATCTATAAAAATCTGCATGGATTTCAGCCTTGAATATTATGCTCAATAAAAAAGAGAAAGGTGTTGTATTGTATAAAATATCCTTATTTATAGAACCACAGGCGAGCTAAATGCAGGTTTTTCTTACGCAATCACAATCAGCTACGACTTTTGCATATGTTCATAATCTTAATAATTTGGCATTATTTTTAATATCACGTTTGTAATTATAAATCTGAATTTTGCAAAGAAAGAGGTGTACACATCTTTTCTGTGCTTATGCACCATTTATAAATAAAGCATCAGGAGTACTAGCTGATTTGTTTGACTGATAATGCGGCTGCTAATAGCAGCCCCAGACTGCACTCTGAAGTGCACAGAAGCATCCGGAAGCAAACAAATGTCACCAGACTCACTAGACAGCACTAAATCGCATAGCGAGCCAATGATCCCTAACAGACCGTTGTGAAAGCAGCAGTGGAGCTTCTCATTTCGAAAACTGGAAAATTCTGGAAAAGCCATTCACCGGATCTGAATCCAACTGAATATGCATGCCAACACCTGGTAATCTCTAAGCTGCCCAGACTTAAGCAGGAGTTTCATGCAAGGACTATACAATAATGTACTGAACATGACTACTGCTTCTTCCATAACATTAATGTACGTATCCCCACAAACTCTGCGCCAAATAAAGAAAAAATATTTTTGTCCCAAGTATTATGCAGCTCACTGTTTCTTAAAGACCACAGCATTTTAATAAAAATGCTTGCACTTGCTGAATGACACAAGTAGCAAGCTAATTTAATTGATCAGTCAAAATGCCGACGGCAACCAGCTCTCCATCTAAGTACATATGCTAGGGTGTAGTAATTAGTTTCTCATTGGGGGAGGGACAGAAGTACTGAAATTGTAGTGTCCGCCATGCTGAAAAAACCAGCACCGACCAGCATTACATCCATGCTGGACCGTGCTGATTTATGCTGGTCACGCTGGTTTGTGCTGGTCAGCAGGCATGGACACGCTGGTTTGCACTGGTTGACCAGCAAACAACCAGCAAAGACATGTCGAAAACACAACATATGCTGGTCATCCGCAAAACCAACACTGATCTGGCTATGCTGGTTTTACCAGGAAAACCAGCATCAACCAGCACTGACCAGCATGGAATTTTATGCTGGTCAGTGCTGGTTTTTTCAGCACAGCACGAGAATACCTTTTTTTTTTTTAATTGATGTTACATCTATCACAACACATTATTGGGGGGGCCGTGTCCCCCATTTCCCCTTAGATTGAGCACTTGTATGTGTATAATTGAGTAGCACATAATCTGGATGCTTCAGACATCATTGTGATATAAACCCTATTATAAACACAGCATTTCAAAATTCTTACTTGTTAAAAACCTGTATGCTACTAGCTGCCAGTTTGTAGACAAGCAATGCTGAATGATACAAGATATGCAGTCTCGAATAGGAGAAATTGGATATAAATCATGTTTTTAAAAGCTTGCAAAACTTGCAGGAACATTGCCCCCAATCCCTGAGTTCAAGAGACATTTCCAGAACTTTAGCAACTGTCAAAGATATACGCTAATGATACCCCCTCATGATACTGTGCTCAGAGTAATACAGTTGTGTTTTCTGTTCTGTGTACTCACTTTGGATAATAAACATGAGCCCAGCTCAGAAGATAAATCAGATCTTCGAGGTCAAGGTCGAACTCCGTCATCTTGACCAGCCGACTGGAGAAAGCTTGGTGGTAGAGCCGGGCGTAAGCGTTGCACACGCCGAATTTGGCAGGGTAGCAGACCTTCAAATCCCGCGCCACTTTCAGCAGGTCGGCGTGCACTTGCTTGCCCATCTTGCAGACGTCTTTCTTCAGGGAGCTGGAGAGCTTCTCGGCACAGGCCACGTCCTCCATGTTGTCCATGCGCTTCTTCACTATCCCTTGCAGCAAGGCATCGTGGGTAAGCTGGTACTGCCTCGGCCTCCACGGCGGGGCTTCCGACCCGTTCTCCACCTGCCACCTCCGGTCCTGCTCCTCCTCTTGCAATACGACGCCAACCGCCGAACTCAGAGCCACCATCTCGCCTGCCGTGGTGCCAAATGAGTTCTGGATGGCCAGGAGCACCTGGACCAGGAGCGTCTCATAGTCCGCTTGGAGCGCGTCCACCTGCTTCTCCCAGGCCTCCGTCTCTGTTCCCTCCGGCCCAGATCCCCGCTGGAACAGGAGCTCCTCGCGAGCGATCAGTTGGCGGCCGGCCTCCTTCAAAAGGCCCTGCTCCATGTTCTCCTTGAAAGAGTGCTCTAAACAGAAACACAGCGTTTTGGGTTTAACAAAGATAAGTGCAATCGAGCGATGCCAGGCACATGAATACCTGCATGAGGGAGATGTATTATTGCTTTGGGTGTTGAATGACCTGAGACCCTCCTGACTTTTGACCCCCACCGCGAATGAGCCCAATGACATCACACAATAGTACAGAATACATTTCGAAGCGGAAATGGTAAATGCACCTTTTCAATCCAGTTCAAAATTGATTGGAGCAGATTTATCGTGAAAAAATAATTTTCAGTTTTTGATACCATGGTCTTGACCCAATTAGGTCCAAAATTTAATCCAGAGATCCCTGTGCTGCACGCGCCTTTCCTCAAAATTTTGTGAAATTTAATCAAACTGTTTTTGCACAAGGAGACAGACATACAGACAGACAGCAGATGGGCAGAAAGACAGACAGACAAATGCCACCAAAAACAATACCCCTCACCTTTTGGGCGAGGAAACAAATACCACTTATTCCCATGGAATTGGTATTGAATTAGTAAACCTCACAAGATAAGTATATATAATGCAATTAAGGACAGCACTGCAAAGGGTTATTAAATCTGTTGAAGGAAGAGGGCAGAAGAACGATGACTTAAAGATCATTCAATTATGCAGAACATATTTAAATGAAAAATATTAAGATTTAAGAATCAACAGAAGAATTTTTTGGTATTGGTTTCCAGTCATCTGGTCATGACATGGAAGGTACAGAAAACCTTATTTTCCAAGAGTGCTCTGGAATATTCCCAGTAAAAAAAAAAAATTTATCAAAACACAGAGAAACGTGGTCTTCAAATCTCATGAAATCTCAGCTGAATTACACCATACCAGCGTGCCTGGGGTGTGCTTCCCCAAATCACAGATGTTAACTTACTGTACATAGTGGGACCCACTGACTGTGAATGGATAAACTATGTTAGTTGCTAACTTAGTTAGCAACCACGCTTTTGGAAAACGTACCCCCGGATGGCTGTGATCAGCCCCTACATTCATTATGAATGCCCCTCCTAGTGGCCTGAATGACCAAAATTTCAATCACTTTGCAGCCCCACAGCACTAATGGAGCCTGAATCTGTTCCTAATGGCTGATCAAATCTGCTTAATTTGTATTCTTCTTCTTCTTTTTATTATTATTATTATTATTATTATTATTGGGCGGCACGGTGGAACAGTGGCCAGCACTGTTGCCTCGCAGCAAGGTAGCGGGTTCGAATCCAGCCTGGGGCCTTTCTGTGTGGAGTTTGCATGTTCTCCCCGTGTTTGCGAGAGTTTCTTCCGGGTACTCCGATTTCCCCCCACAGTCCAAAGACATGCACATCAGGCTAACTGGAGACGCTAAATTGCCCATAGATGTGAGTGTGAGAGCGAATGGTGTGTGAATGGTGTGTGCGCCCTGCGATGGATTAGCGAGCTGCCCAGGGTGGGTCCCTGCCTTTCGCCCATAGTCGGCTGGGATTGGCTCCAACTCCCCCCGCAACGTTACTGAGGAAGTAGTGGGTATAGAGAATGGATAGATGGATGGATGGATGGATGGATTATTAATATTATTATTATTATTATTATTATTTTTACCTCCGCCAAGGGGGGGTCATGTTTTTGCCGGTGTTGGTTTGTCTGCCTGTCTGTTTGTGTACAAGATAACTCAAAAAGTAATGAATGGATATAAATTTTGTGGGTGGGTTGGCATTACATCAGGGATGTACCCAATTGATTTTGACTGCAAAACGTCAAACAAGTGGCGTAGCTGAGGTACACGCTCTACTAAGTGCCCTTCGAATTACTATTATTACTGTTATTATTATTATAATTGTTGTCCCCGGACGAAGTTGGGCGGCTATGGATTCATGCTTGTCGTCTCCGCCGCCGCGTCCGTAGACACTTCCTTGTGGACGCTCTACAGGCTGCAATTTTTGACCGATTACTTTCAGATTTGGTAAGGGCGTGTGTTATACTTCAGTTATGAAACCTACCGATTTTGTTTGCCATGGCGACAGTATCGGCCGAATAATGTGCAAAAAAAGGGAGAAGCGGGCTTTCGGGGGCTACACCCATGCGGTTGCGGGTGACCGAACCGTCTAGTTTGTAGTAGTAGTAATAATAATAGTAGCAATAGTAATATCAGTAATAATAGTCATAGTGGTAGAGATAGTACTAATAGTTGTAGCAGAGCCAGTTATAATAGTAGCACGAATAACAGTAGTGATAGTAGTAGAAGTGGTAGTTGTAGTAGTATAATAACTTTGTTCGGGAAAGTGCTTCATAACTGGATTCATAACTTTATTGTAGATGTATAAGATTGATTCCATAAAGATTGCTGTACCTCTGGGAGAAGCAATGTCAACAGTTTCTATGGCAGTTTTTGGATTTCTGGGCCCTTTCTTGAATTTCGGCAGCTTGAGTTTGTGCTTTCCTGGTTTCTGATTGTCTGCACTCGGCACCACAGGTTGTTGCTCGACAGCAGTCGCTCCATCTCCATTCCCGTCACCTTCGGGAGTCTTCACGTCTTCGGCGGCTTCATCTGCAAGGGAAACGCATCAGTACTGCTGGAATTGCTTCTACATTCCTACACAAAATATTATATTACAGTCAGTTCATACAGGCTAGCAGGTAGGAAAATCGAGCCTGTTTTGCTTTGCTCTGAACAGGAAACACGACGCAGGTGTTTGGGTTTTTATTTATACTTGCTGAAGATGTTTTTTCCTCTGAGTTCCATACCAACATCATTGCCGATGTGTCACGTCAACTGATCAAAGATTGGTTCACTTAGTATGTGGCTAGTAGAAATGTGTTTTTGTATTGCGGTTCCTGAGAAACATTAGCTTAGAAAAATCTTTAAATAACTAACCTGACTCCAAAAAACAAAAACAGAAAAAGAAACAAAGCAATCTGCTAATCTGTCAATGCGCATTACATAATACAAGATACCACAATGCACGTAATCTTGCAATTAAACATCTTGTAATCACCTTTTAGCCTTTATTCGTGACTTATCAGATCAGCAATTTATCTGCTACGCTATATACAAAAGCACTGTATGTTTCTGTGCCACCAGTATGTAAAAAGATATATGCGTTCGTGAACTGCCCTGTCTCTCTTCTCTACGCTGGTCTGAGGCTTACACTGCTGCTGTAAATTTCCTGGAACCCCAAACATTGCTCATCTATCCATCATTTAACCCAATTGCTACTGGTCATAGTGACATCAAGCTGGAGCTTATTCCCATCCACCTTGAGCAACAGGATGGAATACACTCTGGATCAGAGGTTCCCAAAACTCGGTCCCGGGGACCCGCTGTGTAAGATGGTTTTTGTGCCAACCACAACTCCAATCTCAGAGTGTTAATGAGTTCTTAATTGCTCTTTATCACTCTATTCTTGTTCATACTGATTATTTACCCCTTTTAGACCACAAGCCATAATGGCCTCGATGAAAAAAAGTTTCAAAGTGGGCTTTATTGGAAATTACTTTTATATAAAAAATGGAAATTTGCAATTGATGACATGAAACTACGAATTGCCTTCTAATTGATAAAAGTGAGGACACATGGTCACTTAAACTAAGTATTATTAACAGGCTATTGGCATTACAAAGCATTTTATAATGAGTCAAAACTGTTAAATGTCAGTTGTTTGGTTTCAGGAAAGAATTTGAACACCAGCGCTCAGAACCCTAATTAGCAGCTAATTGATTGATCGCAGTCTTGCATTTGATCGCATAAAACATATCACAACCTTGGCTTGGCTTGCTTGGAATACATCAAAACAATCCATAAATGTCAGGCATTGAAACATCATGCATAGCCGTTTGTGTCATAATGCGGTTTGAGGGGTAAAACGTCGCTCTCGTCAGAAAAGCAACAAATAAAAAAAATTAACAGCTAGTTAAAATTCTGGGTTGGAACAAAAACCAGCATACACACTGGGTCCCCAGGACCAACTTTGGGAACCACTGTTCTGGATATGTCTCCATTGCTGGAAACACACAACATTTACTGACACACTCACATAGACACTCCCATTAGCCTATAGCAACTTTGAACTGTAATAGGAAATAAGAATTCCCTTATATAGACAACACTCAAGCCCTGGCCAGGGATTAAACCCTTCCCTTCCTGTTAGGAGCTGACTATGCAATCCACAGCACCGCCATGCCACACCTAAATGTTACCAGGCAGTGGAGGAGAATGGGGTTGGAATGCAGTTAATGTGGGGTTATTGTGAGGATACGGGTGAGGGCAGCAAATGAGAGCAAGCTAAACGCTCTCACTCGAGACAAAGAAAATATGACAAAATATGTAGTCTAATGATAGCGTGATTCTGGTTTGCCAGGAAGGCTGTATATCATACACGTGGCAGTTGGTTGGCACTGTGATTTTGTGCGTAGCATTGCTGCCTCAAAACAGGAAGGATGTAGGTTTGAACCCTGCATGGGCCTTTCCGTGTGTGACCCCTGTACCCTCCAGCCCATTGCATGCTGGGATAGGCTCCAGCTCTCATGATTCTCACCAGAAATGAGCATATTAGATGGAAGATGGGCGGATAAATGGATAAGCAAAATAAAGCAAGTATGTAGATAGATTAATTTACATTTGAGTGGCCGAGAACCAGCATCTACAAACCAAACAAATTGAAAGTTCTGAGAAAAAACACGTCCAAAGTTTTTTGTTTTCCGCAAATTCAGATGATTGCCAGATTGTAGATAATTCTGGTTAAAAGAACTCGTAACTGATTTTAAACATTTATGACTTAAGCGTAATCCGAGGGCGCAACACGCACTTCACTGATTTTTTAACAAATGTGAGATAGTAGCCTCTGGTTCTCATCCTCTCATTTGTGAGTAGAACATACACCGCACAGAATGAAAGTATTTGGTCAGCGACATAATTTTTCAGCCGAGACAGCTGACGTGCTGAGCCAGTGAATATTGGCCACATACAGGGCGCAATGGAGATAGATAAAGGAGGCATATAGAATAGGAAAAAAAAAATCTACCGGTTGGAGAAGCGCCATTTGCGGTGTCTGAGGCTCCCTTGTGAATTTTCAGCCCTTTTTTGAATTTCGGAAGTTTGATCTTCTGTTTGACGCGTTTCAAGTTCTCTGCACTTGACGCCGCGGTTAGCTGCTCCAGTGCAGCGGTTCTATCTCCATCATCATCTTCAAGTATCTTCACCTCTGCGGTGGGTTGATCTGCAATAAAAAGAAATGCCCAAAAAAGCCTCTTCGTTTTTCTACACTGACCTTAGTCATCACGTGCCCGCATCCTGAAAGACATTTGATGATGCGGCCAGTAAGCCAAAATGCGCATTGCATGCTTGAGATAAGAGGCATCGCTGTGCATCATCGTCTTCATGAGTTCACGTCCAAGGGAAAAACCAAGCGGACCCCGAGTACATTAGCGACTTTTCCGAGGAAAGTACCCAATCTACTCGAAAGTTACTGTAATGTATTGAAAAGTCGCCACATCTAGCGACATCTGGCGGTTATATGGAGTTAAGGCGATAGCGAATGGTTTCACGCATGTAGGCACCGGTGCCTATACTAACTAGATTTTGGCACCATCACAAGAAAAAAAAAAAAAAAAAAACATTGCTGAAAGTCATGCGTTTGTATATAAATTCTTGTAAAAATTATCCTATACCCCCCATAAAAAGGAAAAACAAGGCTACTACCTTGCCAGGACAAAACAACACAAAACATTTGCTGAACGTCCACAACACAAACACACAGCGCAGCCAGAAATAATTCACGAGATTAACTGCAAGTCTAACCGCAAACACTGGGTAAAATTGGGTGTAGGAAGCAAATCTTCCTTGGAGATCCGAAACCAAGATGCGCACTAGCAAGTCTCAGACTTTCAAATGTGTGTTGCGGTGTGCAACAGGGAGGCTTCATTTAGCTACATTGGACCGTTCAATTATTCAAAGCCATTCGAAAGCTATATTCGGACCATTTGGCCAACTTTTGTCCCAAAAGGTTAGGTTAGACGTGTAGCTAATTAAATTTCAGACACACAATAAACAACAAACGGCGCAGCTATATTTATTTAAGATTCGTACCATCTGACATTCTCCAATGTTTATTATCAAACCTTTACGTTCACTCACCATTCATTCTAAATTCACCCAAATCTGTATGTTCATCGTACACCCCGAAGCATCGGAAAGTCAATCCACTTTGAAGGCGCGTCAGGGCCGTCTGACATCGTAGCCAACCGAATCGGAACATCAG